TTTGCCTAACTAAAATGAAGCTACAAACTACGCATGTGCAACAACGAGATCACGAAGCGCAAAGTGCTCAATTGCAAGAACTCCTGTAAAATGTTGGGAAGGCCTTTCAGCAAACGGCTTCGCCGCTTTTTGAAGACCTCTAAAGATATGAAACAGGTTGCTGCTTTTCCAACTGAGGCAGACACCCACAGTGTTGAGGGTTGAACGAAGTCGATAGCTGCCATGAACGCCAGTGTCCTCGACAAAGCCGTTCTTGCCCAAGTCAACTTGAGTGCCAACACCAAGTCCATACCCAAATAGCCTAAAGCCCTTGTAGTCGTCAGTCCATTGCACATTGAGGTCACTTCCCAGCAAAGGAGCTGCGGTGTTCACACAACTGGTGACAAATTCGAAGGGTCTGTCCAGTGCCTCCTCTCCGGCAAGACGAAGCCAATCCATGATACCACGTTCCATCTGATGTCGTAAACCAAGTTCACCTTCAGCTTGGTATGCACGCCAAAGAGGCTTGGCGCATAGCTCTCATTCTCCACAAAGCAGTCGATGTTGTCTTTCCAGCATTTCTTGGTTGGCACCCATGCATTGACGATACCATTTCGGTCAAACTCGATATGATATCTCTTGTTCGTCTTAGGATGTATGGCTTCGATACACACTTTGTCTTTGCCAAGAGCATCACAAATCTTGGCTGGGTCTGTCTCACCCTGAAACTTGCCCGCAACCAACCTTTTGATCCAAAAGAGCTCCTTATCTCCAATATTGTGCTTCTCTGATAGAATGTGCTCCGGTCGTGTCTCTACCTGCCCATCTGGCTTTGCTTTGATGGCAATTCCTTTTCTTGGAAGTGGTTTCTTGCTCTCATCTTCAGGCCAGCTCATGATCTGAAGCAATGCGAGTGAGAAGTTCTAAACTGAACCCCCAATAAAACCGATCTCATTGAAGAAGAACGTCAACATACGTCAACTATGAAGACTACTTGGGGGAGACCCCCAAGGCATGCTCATTGTGGTTTTGCAAGATTACTCTTTTGCCTGCACATTGCATCTCGAGCACTTCACTGCAGAAAATGTTTTGACTTTGGCCTCAGCACTTTTAATCCTTGCAAGGACACAATCTACCCATATGAAAAGCACTATTCTTGGCAGCGCAAAGTGAAAGCGGAGGTTCGCATAACTATGTTCTAGCCTTGGCTTGCTACACAAACAAAGAGACCTTGGCGCTTGCGCCCACGTGCACTCTGGTTGAAGAGCTTTCAGCCTGCGAGTGGTGGTTGGTCATTATCGCTTCCTCTTCACAAGCATGCAGCGAGGCCTGGTGGCACTGATGAGAAGTGAACTGAGTTTCCCACAAAAAGCCTGGTGGAAGTCGTTCAGAGAACTCCTTGGCGCCGTGAACAACTTTTTCTGCATAGACACAGAGGCTTTTGGGTGTTGAAAAGAAATGGTGAATTCACAAGTGCAAAAAAGTGAACACATCACAACAAGAAAGAGCAAAAACGGGTGAGCAACTGCGCATCAAACATGTCATTGTTTTCTTGGCGACGTATCATACTGGCCCGGAAAGAAGAAAAAGGTTGGGGAAGAGCTCAGGTTCCTATCACCTTACAGAGTCACTGGCAATGCTTCGAGGCTTCAGATAGATTCAATATTATGGATTGAAGGCCTTGAGTCGGTCCGCAGCGACGACATCACCGGACCTCTTCAGCATCCTCCGATGTCATCTCTGCTCCTGAGACTGTTTGGAAAATGGCCACGAAAGACCCCCCCCCAAATCCCGACACTTGGTGGGCCCAAACAACCTCTGGGTGCCCTGCACCGCACCGGAGTGGATCTGGGCATCACCGGAGAAGACTCTTTCAGAGATCTGAGTCCTTCGCGACTCGGTGATGTTTCACCGAACAAACCCTTCAGGTCGATTCGACCGACACGTCGACCGACACGAAAGTGCTCGACGTCTCACGACGTCGGTGGGCACCTCTTTTTGGTCGACGAAGGGGTGCCGTTCAGTGCAAGGAGGACACACCGACGTCAGACCGACGTCAGGGCCAGCGACGGGTCGTTCGTCCCAGTTTCCAGGACGAACGGGTCGGGGAAAACTGTGGCGAGGGGTCTGCTGGATTCGTCGCGGCATGTCCCTGTCTGCTGGATTCGACTGGTCATGTCCGTTCGTTGCGCCGGTGAGCCCTGCCACAGCCCCCAACGGCCAAGCTATAAAAGTCAAAGCGCCGAAACGTGTCTGGCGATGCGAACTCCAGACCAGTTTGGCTGATCACTCTTAGGTGAACACAATTAAAAAAACGCAAAACACTTCCTCAGGCCGATCGTGTGTGCCAAACGTGTGTCCAAGGATAGTGGACCTTCTTAGCGATACGAACCGTAGCAAAACCGGCTCATGCAGGTGTTGTAGGCCGATGATACCCACCCAGGATTGCTGGAGCCCCACTTTGCCCTGTTGCACTCCCACTCGTAGTGGCAGCAATAGGCATTGCAGCTGCTGCCGCAGTTGTTATTGCATCCATTCCAACTGTCACAATAAATATTGCCGCAATACCAGCTAGAGTACAAGCGACGGCTGTTTGGATTGGCAATCGATGTGCTTCCATGTTGCCCCACCGTCACTTCCACATCTTCTGTCGTGGCTGCCTTGGGATAGTTAAGCATGCTCAGGACCACATCGTCAAAGTCTTCGATCAAACACAACTGGGTGCCCATGTCAAAGTCCTGTGGCCAAAGGCCTCCGAGATTCATGGTGTAACTGCCTGTCATGCAGCTCTTAGCTCTTCCACCCACCCGAGAGGCCTCCGAAATCTCCAGGACGCCATCTAAATTCTTGGCGGCCACAGACACGGTCACGGTCACAGTGCTCCGGCCACCGGGTAAGCTAGAACTGCATGAGGAAGCACAATGAGTCACCTCAAGAGTTGGCGGAGAATTGCAGAAAAATCCATGGTTCAGGTGGCCATGCAGTAGGAAACGCACCTCTTTCGGAAGAAGGGGGTCTCTTCTTTGGCCTTTGTGGCCCGGTCGCCATGAACATCCTCGCACGACGGGTTTTTGAGGGTTTGGGGTTTAGCCAAAATCGTCTCTGGGGGAGGGCAGGGAAACAGACAGGTGTTGATGGTCCCATGTCCCTTGGTTGCCTAAATGGTACGCGAAAATGAACATGGCGTGAAAGCAGCTGATGGAGTGAGCCAAAAACCTCCAGTTGTTCAACACTGCACCAAAGCCGGCAGTGTCATGAATGCGCTTCTTTGTCAGGCGAGATGCTTTTACAGAGAACGAGTAACCAAACAGCAAGATGTCATACTCTTCGTCCGATTGCCCGCCTGCGCATGCGCGAAACGACCACGAACAACACGACTCTGGCGTCGGCTTTCGGTTTCACCCAGTTTTTGGATGTTTTTTGGAGTTGACAAATTTAAATCCGAACGGCTCAAAACGCAGCAGACGGCTGGTTCAGGCAGCTATTGAGACCATCGGTCAAGATGACCACGACGTTTGACGTCTGGCCGAGCCGGCCGAGCCGGCCGAGCTGGTCGTATGGATCGACCACACACAGGGCTCACCCCTTTTGATCGACCCGAGTCGAGCAAGGGAGTAGGATTGGTGAAGCCTCACCCTACGTCAGTCTGTTGAATGTCCTAAAAATAGACCCCCACATAAATAGAAAAGTAGATTCCAACTAAAAATGTATTGGAAACCGTTTCTATCTAGTTGGGAACCACTATATATAACGCTTATTTCATCAATGCCTACTACATGATGTTCACTCTGCTTCTTATTTGGACTTGAAGGCGACCGGCTACCTCATGCGGCGAATGGCGTTCGCAGACTGCGTTTGCAGAGACTGCCTTCGTTCTCCGACAAAAAGAACGACTCAATCCAATGGATTTGAGTCGAACATGTTCCATTCAACAGAAAGCCCAGAGCGAAAGGTTCGTACTCCGCTCATTCAGAAAGACATGAGCTCGAGTCTCGCACACGAAGGACCGATATGGACGGTATGGACCGGTATGGACGCTGCTGCGAACATCGGGCAGAAAGGAGGCACAGGCAAAAAGTTATAAAGACCAAGTAGCCAGTTTCATGCCAAAACGGTCCGATGTGAAACCAAAGTCATCACAAAGTTCAAATTGAACACCTAGGACCTAGGAAGCAAAAATAAATAAAACAAAACAAGCCAAAGGATGGGAGTCGCTGGTCTTAAAATCAGGTCGCTTCAATTTTGAGGTAGTCAGTCTACTGTTGTTAAGTGTGAAAGTGTCCCTACTCCGGATGCAAACTCGTGTGAATCTAGTCTGTTGTTGATTCTTTGCTGAACATATTCACCTTATATAGGATGGTCGCCTTTTGCAGTTAGGAGTTCAAGTATTGCTTCCTTACGTGTCATCATAATGCTTGAATGAACCGGTGCCGCTAATTCAAGAGTCTAATTCAATCTAATTCATATGCCTTTTGAGATATTATTCTCACGTGTATCCGCTCTCTTTTAAAGCACCTTTGACAACCCTCTCACTAAGATGTGTTCAATTCTCCTTCATCTGCACATATCCTATGTGTGTCTTTCACTTTAGAAAATGCTTCAATCATCTCCGCAGCTACATGCTCGCACATAGTCAAATGTTTCTCACGATCAATTCTGCCTTGAAGTTTTGTGTTGGAATATCATGTGTAAATAGAGAAAATTGTTAATGTATTTAAAGTTCATAGTTCGGATACTGTGAGACAAGGAGTTTAGAGCTTAGACCACTCAAATGTTTCTATTCAAAACGTGTTGAAAACATTTGAAACGCTTCCACATGTTTGTTTTGTTCTTCTACTCTGAATGTCTAACTCTCTTCTTAATTCTTGCCGGCGTCGGTGTGTCGCTTCCAAAGCCCGGCTCGGCGTCTGAAATTGCCCGATTAATCTTATATGTCAATGTAGGCCTGTTGGAGACTGTAGGACATTGCTCATCTTTGTATGATTTTGAACTTGGATGAACTTGGTGTCTATCTTGTTGGCTTAGTACCGTCCACTTTCTCAATTCTTGAATCTTTGTATACTTCACAATCTTCACTGCTGCGGGTCAAACGGACATCCAATGGAAGTCTGTTTGTTACATTGACGGCTTCCGTGGACCCGTGGATGTGGTCGCTTTGGAGGGTTTTCTGAGACCTGAGACCGGCAAACACGCAAAGGCACCGTGATGGGAACGCTGCGAGCAGGCAGTGCCGCATGCCATTTGAGCGACTGCCGACTGCTTCTGGTGTACCCCAAATTTCACCGGCAGAGAGAGAGAGAGAGTGTGAGAGTGAGAACCTCCAGGCTCCAGGTTTAAATCCAGGGCCTGGTGATGCACCGGATGGACTATCCCATCCAGATTGAGTTTTTGTTGATCATTGATGAAAACAGTGAATTTTGCTGCTGAACGTGGTGGGAGCGGATGGATGACACACTCATTCGCCACTGCGGATGAGTGACCAGGTCCCAGGTCCGATGTGCATCAGGTCCCAGGTCCCCACAGCAGCCCCGCTGTCGTCATGCTACGAACAGTCATGCTACGTCGCGTAGCTCTGGAATCATCATGATCATGGTCATTTGACGAAAGAGGCATGAACAAGGCCACGAGTATGTGTGCGGCACGTGTATGTTGACTGGGCATCAACGCATGAAGCGTTTTGCACGTCTTGGGAGTACTTGGTCAGCGGCTGCTAGTCACCATCCCCATGGTTTTCTCCAGATTACAAGGGACTCTAGAAAACCGACCACCCAGCCCGGCTCTTCCGGAAGGATCGGGGCGGAAAAAAGGCCGGGAGGATGCAGTGCATCCATTCAGCTGAAGCTGCGCACCTGTCACCTCGTCTCCCGGAGAAGAAAAGGTCGCCATCGTCTCCCAATAGGTGGATCCGCGGGTGAGGTCCAGGGCGGGGTGCTGTGCATTGCTGGCCACCAGGTCCTGCGCGGCTGCCGGGCGCCGACGGCCATGGCCACGGCCACGGCCAGTGTGGCCACGGCTCGGCGCTGCAGCAGCTGAATCACTGCGCGTTAGAAAAAGGCATGTTTGGCGCAAAGCGTTGGTAGGTTTGCAGAGTTGCTTGGAACCAGAGGAATTTTGCAAGTTGTCTGCCCCGAAAACGCTCCAATCTGGGGGAAGCCACTGGTCCACCTTGTCACCACCTATCACCACCCACATGTGTGGGTATTCTCTGGGTGTCCTTGTTTTTCAACCCGTTCACAAAGGCGTGGTCCGAGTCCTCCTCCTCCACTTCGAATTTCGAAGATTTCGGTCCTTGAGGAGGCCGGCATTGTAGGACACCACTGCTGGATGTTCCACCCAAGCATCAATCTTTGGCACCTCGTGTTCTCCATCGTTCGGTCCGGGAAGCGTCCGTCGCCGTTTCGGAAACATGGGAGAGGACGAGGACACGAAGATGTCAACGCACACAGTCTGCCTAGAAGAGTCCAACCTTCATGCCAACGAATGCTGGGTGCAATAGTTGACCCTTCTGAAAAAATGAACACTGAAGGGCACCAAAAAAACTCTTGCGGCTGGGCAAAGAAAATAACAATAATATACAATAATTTCATGTCTGCCAAAAACGTTCCGCCACACTGGCACTGGAGTTGTGATAAAGATTGAACTAAATAGAACAGAATGATGTATATTGGCGGTGAACTGCCTACAGTGTCTTCTGCTTGGTCTTTGCAGTGTCTTCCCCATGGCGTACCTTTTGCGGATTCTCCGCCCGGGCCAACTGATTGATCTCCTCCGCCAAAGTGATGAAAGGTTGTTTGCCTGCCACGAAGACATCCTTCTCGCAGTCAGCTGCTAGCTTGGTGACGCCAAAGTAGCTCAAGGCCCCTGCCAGGTCCATGTCAGACACCTCGGAGATCCTGGCCGTCACGGGGGCCCGGGGGTGTCGGGGGCCCGTGCTGGCTCCTTTCTTGACGCGACGAATCGAACGCCTTGGTGAAATGTCTGATCTGGACATGCCAAAACCGTCCATGTATTGAATAGAGTTAATTTATGACCCCAATGTAGGTAACTATTCCATGCATGGTCTGGGATGAATCTCTTTGGCATCTTGCTGGGCGCAACAGAATGCTGCAGCCAAGCTCGGACCGGGGGGGGTGTCCGGTGTTGAGGTCCAATGAGTTGGCAGAAACGTCCGGAAGTTCGATCAAAGCCGTTTTTCACCCGGAAGCTCATGCGCTTCACCATGCACCAGCTTCGTTACGAAACATCCCGACTTCGTGGGACCCCATTTTTTCGGTCCACGTTCTGCAGCTCCCAAGTGTCGGCGCCTTTCAAAAGCCGAGCCCATCGACTTCACTTCGTCACCCCGGTCACCCCGGGGTCGACGGGTTTGGGCCCAAGGCTCTCGGCGTATTGAAGGGTGACATTCGGCCGTCCACCGGAAGGAGCAAAGGCATGGACACCTCGGACCGTCCCCGGGCTCGGCACCACCGCTCGGGACCCTCGCGAGGGTCAGGACTCAGGACACGGTTCCCACGGTTTTTGACGGTTCCCACGGTTCAGTCGCTAAGGCAAGTGCAGCGGGCAATCAACCAAACCCCATGTGGGAATGGTTCAATTACACCACCGTAGACCCCAAACAGTTTGTGTTTTCGAAATCGGAACACTCTGCAACTAGAGCCTGCGACGTCCAGAGCTGGGAGACAAAGGATTGCAAGGCAGAGGCGGCCACAGCAGTCCAGAGCTGGGAGACAAATGTAGACACAGGGAGACAAATGTAAGGATTGCAAGCGACATGGAGACAAATGCAAAGGCTTGCGAGGACACATGGAAAGGATTGCAAGGCAGAGGCGGACAAACAAATGAATAGAAGTGTTGCAATTGAATAGAATTGCTACATGGACAGCGGAAAAGGGTGGACACCAGCGGCGACAGACCTGGGAGACAAATGAATAGAAATGCTACATGGCCAGCGGAAAAGGGCGGACACCAGCAGTGACAGACCTGGGAGACAAATGAATAGAAATGCTACATGGCCAGCGGAAAAGGGCGGACACCAGCACTGACACAAAGGGCGGACAAATCTTAAGAAAGAATTGAGAACAGTAAACTGTCTGGGGAATGAAAAGAAGTGAGAGGCAAATGAAAGGAAGTGGGAGACAAGCCAGGCGGGAACCCGACCACAAGGACCCAGCCTGGAAGACAAATGAAAAGAACTGGCAAAAAATTGAAAAGAAGTGGGACAAATGAAAAGAAGTGAGACAAGCCAGGCGGGAACCCGACAACAAGCACCCAGCCTGGGAGACGTGGGAGACAAATGAAAGGAAGTGGGAGACAAGCCGGCCGGGAACCCAACCACAAGCACCGAGCCTGGGAGACAAATGAAAGGAAGTGGGAGACAAGCCAGCCAGGAACCCGACTGCCGACTACAAGCACCCAGCCTGGGAGACAAATGAAAAGAACTGGGAGACAAGTGAAAAGAAGTGGGAGACAAATGAAAGGAAGTGGGAGACAAGCCAGCCGGGAACCCGACCACAAGCACCCAGCCTGGGAGACAAATGAAAAGAACCGGGAGACAAATGAAAGGAAGTGGGAGACAAGCCGGCCGGGAACCCGACCAGACCATCCAGCACCAAGGCGACCATTCTTTAAAGCATTGAGAACCCCTAACAGTAAACTGTTTGGGGAAAAAGTCTTTTCTGTTCTCTTCATCAACTCTTCAGGCACTAAGTCATCGTTGATGATCGAGCCATCCACACAAGAAACACTCCTCTCCCACCAAGAGAGAGGTTCAGTGACCTTATAGGACCCTACTGGGGTACCTGTGGGATAGTCATGAATAGTCTTTAGGGTCCTTCAACCTCTGTTGGCACACATGCATTCCCCCCACAAAAGGGAGGCTCTACGATGCTGCACGCTGTCCACGCCAAGGGTTTCGACCCGACCCACTTCGCGACCCGGACGCCCGACCCAGACGCCCGACCCGGCGGGACGCCGAGCTGCGGTAGGGCTGCCCGGACTCAAAGGAGCCGGTAGGATCGGTGTCCACGTCGAAGTAGTCGATGGTCATGTTGGGCACCGTGCCCGACTGGCTGAGCAGCTGGGTCAAGGCATCCGTGGGTAAAGACTCCACCTGGGGCCGAAGGCTCTTCGCCGAGGAGCCGAGGAGGCGACGAGAGTGAAGTAGTGAAGTGGTACATGTGTCGAGAAAGCTGTAGAAGAGAAAATTCTAGAAGATGAGATGGTCCTACAAGCGCCTTTCCCTTGTTCATGAGAAAAGCCTATCTCAGCCTGCTAACTTCCTCCAGACCCCATGAGATCCCATAAAATGCCCACTTCCTTTTGGATTCCCACGCCTGCAACCTCCACTGACGAAGGACTCGACCTCCCTCATTGGTGAAGCCTACCAAGCTGATCCCCGAGGCCTTGGTAATGAGGCCAGCCACATCCAGATTCGGAGGCAATCCCGCAACGCAGCCGTATCCAATCTCACCCATGCGTTCCATCCTCGCTTGGGCACCATTCCTTCCGATGGACAGCTGCTGTTGCAAGGGGTGCATGGCAAACTGCCGCTTTTTCACCGTGACGCTGGAAGTCTGAAGCACTTCTTCGGTGTATTTTTTGACGTAGCGGCCATTCTCCAGCACTATGCCAGGAAGCAATAGAGTGCTGACAATGGTAGAGTTCATCATCTCACCTCCCTCCACATCCTGCGTCACATGGAGTTTGGCATAGTAGTTCTGAGGGATGTCCTGGCAGCGTTACTTGTTTGCTGCACACAGGAACCAACCCCGTGGGCGTTGTTGAGTGGAACTCTTCTCCGCATGGCAGTGCCTTCTCACACCTTCTCTTCCCAGCGTTTTGTCTATCCCTAGGAATCCGCGTCCTCAAATGGAATGGGTTTGGTTCGGGTCCATACCCTGCCATGGAGGGTCCGACTCCTGCCCTGAACACGGACCAACGCTGGCACATACGTCTGGACCGGAATCCCCAAGGATTGCCACTCCTCGGGGTTTGGCAATGGGACGCTTTCGCAGTGCCACTCCACATCCTTCAACTTCCCGAAGAAGCCCTAGCACAAGGAATGTTTAAACCACACAGACTCCTGTGGGACATGAAGAACCAGGAAGATCCACCTTTTTCACATCTCAAGAGTCTTTCTCAATAATTGCCGTTACATGAAAATCAGGCACCGCATATCCTGATGGAACATCTCCTGTGCACGGTACTCTGACAATTCTTGACAATCTCTATATATATATACAAAAAAGAACAAAACTACATACAGTACTTTAAAAACAAATTAGCCCAACTAAAGGCCCCAATAGCAAGATACAAACCGGGACAAAGAGAAAAATCTAGAAACAACGGTTGTTTTCAATACATCGACCATCTCTTCCTGGGCCACCATCATCACATAACCGAGACCCCATCCCAAAATAACCAGGACACCATCAAAACATAATCGAAACACCATCACAACATAATTGGGACACCATCACAACATAACCGAGACACCATCAGAAGATAACCGGGACACCAACATAACATAACGGTAACACCATGACAGGACACCATCAAAACATAACCGGCACACCGCCAAAACATGACCAGGACACCATCACAACAGGACCGAGACACCATCAAAACATGACCGGGACACCGTCACAACACGACCGGGACACCATCACAACATGACCGGCACACCATCAAAACATGACCTGGACACCATCAAAACATGACCGCGCCACCATCACATGATCGGGACACCATCACAACATGACCGGGACACCATCAAAACATGACCGGGACACCATCACAACATGACCGGGACACCATCAAAACATGACCGGGACACCATCAAAACATGACCGGGACACCGTCACAACACGACCGGGACACCATCAAAACATGCCCAGGACACCATCACAACATGACCGGGACACCATCACAACATGACCGGGACACCTTCAAAACATGACCGGGACACCATCACAACATGACCGGGACACCATCAAAACATTACCGGGACACCATCAAACAGGACCGGGACACCATCACAATATGACTGGGTCACAATCAAAACATGATCGGGACACCATCAAAACATGACCGGGACACCATCCGCCCACCAGCTCTGACGGTGACCCGACGGCGCCCGTCCGCCTATTAGTTTTGCAAGACCCCATAGCATGGCTATTGGGGAAAAAACAAATAATTATATATATATATATCATGATTATATATGCAATATGATCCTGCCAAAATGTATCAAAATGTTATATAAGTGCTCCGATCAAATCCATCTTGAGACCAGCTCGGGCTGCCTCGCAGGCGCTTTACCCCCGCTGGCTCGCGGGCCTCCAGGAGTGAGTTCTCGGACAACCGGCGCCCAAAAAGACCATCGCCATCTAAGATGTTGGGCATGCCGGCCTCGACCGGAGGAGAAAAGAGGGAGGGGCACGTCCGTCCCGAGAAAGCGCTCGAAGTCAATGACCTCTAAAAGAGTCCAACGATGGATCTCCCGCTGACATGTGTTTTCTCGTTTGTTTGTTTTATCTTGTTTTATGGGGCTGAAAGCGTGTTGTATATCCATGAACAGGGGTGTCGCTGTCCACGAGCATCGGATTTCCTCAGAAATCCGGACCGTTTCGTCGACGAAAGAAGGCCATCGTTTTCAGGGTGCCTATGTTTGAGCTATGGCTATATCCAAGCCAGGGCAAGGTGTCGAAGAATGTGGTGTTGCTTGTGTCGCTCAGATCCTTCGGTCCTAACATGAGACCGAAAACAAAGTTCCACGTCCCACGAATCACTGGCCCTGAGCAAAAAAAGGAAAAACCAGGCTCACCACCCCACCATGCTCCACCTGTGCCAAGAAGGAGGTAAAGGCTTCATCAGCAGAGAGGATGTAGTCATCCAGGGTGAGAACTCCCTCCTGTGGCGGTCAAGAGAGAGCCTCCCCTCCGTGCATCGGAGGTGAAGAAAGGCTGGAACTCGCCGATGGACCGGGACTGGCCGATGGGTTCAATGATAGGGGGATCCTATTTGAGGAAAGCACGGAACGGCAAGTGCGCAAAAAGCAAACCAACGTCCAAGTTCATGGTGTTCTTCAAACAGGTATTTTCATGGTGAAGTCTTGTTGGAGTGCTCCAAAATACACATCCAGACTATGCCCCGGCCCCGGCGCGCTCCGTGGTTTCCAAATCCACCACTGAACCACAGCGGCTGGAGCGCATCAGGACGCGCTTCATGCCATTCACAGTCACCTGCAAGAACTTGTCACCATCCTTCAAGGTCACCTGAGACGAAGAATTCAACTCGGATCCCTTCAACAGTCACCTCGTGAGATTGAGACTTTTCGCGGAATCGATCGGTGGTGTTGGTTCACCATCGCATAGTGGGGCGAAGTAGATGTATTTGGGAACAATGAAGCGAAAGTACCTTGTGAGAGAAGACCTTCGTTCAAGAAAAGACCTTCGTTCACCTTATGCCAGCTCCCACCTCAAGCTAGCCTCTCTGCATGGGAGAGACAAACGCACAGAGACTAGACTCTAGTGACTAGACAATCCTTGCCTTACATCATTGGGAAAAGAAGGAGACAACAGGAAATCTTCGTCTTGCCCCCAAAATCATACAAATAGGGAGACGACGAGACAAGCAAAGTAGTCTTCATATATGATGTATGGTGAATCTGTAGTTTCGTTGTGGTTTGTTCAAACACCCAAATGCCAAACAGCATCAAACAACAACATAAAAGGAACACAAAGGAAACAACCGGAGAGACAAGGGGAGACAAGGGCAAACGGAGACGAGAGAGACGATGGGAGACGGTAGACAGAGAGCAAATAATATCCTTGACAATGTATATCCACGCAAGGACTGAGAACTCAAATATAGTAATTAGTCTTGCTACCCCGCCTGAAAAGTCTACCCTTTCTTGCATGTTTTGCGAGTGTCTTCCAGACTTGTTGAATCTTGAATCTTGGATCCGGGTACTACTTGGAATAAAAGTTGCCACAGGACAGGAACCATTTGCAAACGTTTGCAATGGCTGACCGCCCCCCCAAACATACCACAATATCAATCAAACTATGAAGAACGTTGCCATAATCGAAGCCATCTTTCAATGCTTGATAGTCTTTTTGCCCAATACTGTTTGAGTGGCTGATTCTTTGTCAATTTGAATAGCATCATCATATGGTTCAATCCTTAATCTTAAAGTGTCCGTGATTGTAACCACCTTCAAAATCATATTGCCCTGCATCACCCTCATAAGCATTCCTACCATACATCAAACGCATTGAAGACTTGTATTTGAACTGGTTCCCCCAAACAGTAAGTGTAAGCCTTGTTCTGGTCTATTTCCGAGTGTACCTCCCTGTTATGAAGAAAGCTATGAACTTTCCCAGCCGGTGGGATTGTTCTACACTGGCTTAGGATGTCAATATCAACGTAACTTCATTAAAATAGGATTTGTGGTTTATGTAAAGGACTTTTTTGCTTGAAAATAAACATTGCTTTTGACCTGTATGTGTTCTTTGCCTCAACTGTTATACTGGCATTGATTGAATCTGTTAGATATTGGGTTGTCACCTTATATTTGACTACAGTCTGTCCTTTTTCGGCTTGAACCTGGAATTCAACTGCGATATAATGCCTGAAATAAACTTGATGTGTGGATGATATCCTGCCTGGTTGCTTTGATAATACAGTTTTTTACACGTCAGTTCCTTTGTAGAACATGGTGTACTCATCCTTCTCAGTGTATTTCAGAATGTAATCAATGCCTTCAATAATCCTACATTCAAAGGGTTCATCTCTGGTGTTGATGTGACAGTCTGTAGAAGCCTTAACATCTATATAGAGTAACGTGTATGCCTGATGCATACCAAGCTTTCTTTTTAGTGCCTTGACGTTTCTGCTTAGTGTGTAGATGTGGTCATCCTTCATCAATCCAAAAAAAAACATGTAATATGCCGGGCTTGTTTTGATGGCTTATATTTTCCATACAATCAAAGATCCTGGCTGATACATTGATTATCTGAACACCTTATTCATATCATTGATTGATGGTCCAGATGTATTGAATTCTCATCAGTTTTACCAATGAGTTTCAGAACTTTATCTCCGGTCACCTTCTTCATTCTTGCCTCATTGCCATAACTTATTCTTGATGTGTATAGTGCAGTTCTTGAATCCAGTCTCTCCTGGTCATAGTCCAAGTTTCTGGATTCAAAAACTGTTTTTAGATCTTGAATCTTGAATCTTGGCTCTTGGATCTGGAATCTTGCATCATGAATCTTAGACACTGCTCTCCCTTGCAAATGTTGGCAAATCTTTGGCCTGATGTTCCCTGAATTCTGGAACTTATCCTAAGTACGTTCTGTAGATGTGCATAGTTTTTATATGGTATCCCGCCCAAAAAATAGATTAAACCAAAAGATCTCAAATTTGGTAGACCTTTTTTGGGGGAGCATGTTACATATATAATTACATATATATATATATATGTAAATTACTTACTGTAATACATCGGACATTTGATGAACTTTGCCAACCTGATGATTTTCAGAAGACAGCACCCGTTGTTCCTGAGGGCAAAAAAGGTAGGGTGCGCGCCCTTTGTGCGGAGAGGGTGCGAAAATAACTCGAAAGGCACGAGGTCGCAGGTTGCCTCCTTTCTTTTTGAAGTTGTACTCATGTGCACCATCACCTTCACCATCATGAAGGAGTTCACCAAATGGGAGCCCACATGCATGGACCAGCTCGAGTAATTCATGTCATCTGGACGCACTGGACGCACCCGCCCAGCTCCCCCAGCTCGCCCACCTGCCGAAAACCCCGCGCTGCGCCGCTGCGCCGAGTCTCATGCTTCAAGGTCTTGAAGTAGTCATCGGGCACCGTTGAACTCAAGCGTCGCCCGGGCGTCGATTCAGCCACCTTCGAGGGCTGAATCGACATGTGAATCCATGTGAATCGACAGGTCCCTGGGTGTTCCAGTTGGGTGCTAGTTCATGGGGTGCTCAAGCTCTCCCATAGTGCTCAAGGTATGACGAGTTCTAATCAGCTCTCTAGGACTGCAAGTGCACCGCAGAAGCCGTCTCAATGGGATTCCGCACGATGAAACTCCCTTTCACCCGCCTCAAGCACATTGGAACTGCTCTCGAGCCGGCGGCAGGTGGTGCCTTCTGGGCACGTGGCGGTTGTTTGGCCACGCGTCACCACTGTGCCATCAGCTTGAACATCAAAGGCAGAACTGGCAACCTCCAGCTCTCTTCGGCCGATGCGGCAACACCCAACAGTGCACGAACGTATGCAAAAAAAAAAAACGCGCGACTTGCTGCGACTTCAGCGCTCCGTCTCCGTCCTCCCCCGGTCCGCACCACCGACAACCACCGGTCCCCGACCTTCACGGTCTCCCCGTCGCCGTTCTGCATGACGCCGTCGGAGGTGCCACGCATCTCCTTGGCCATGTCCACCGCAATGTAGGACATCACAAACATCCCCACCAGCAGAAGGACAATCACCGCCTCGGACACCAACAAACGGGGGTGTTTTTTTAGAAGGCAGAAGGCCCACGATTCTAAGGCACGAAGCACTACCGTGGTTTTCTCTGGTACGTATCACCAAGCATGTGACTAAAGTTACGAAAGTTAAATAGATGCTAAGTTGGGGCGCCAAAAGACAAAAAGGACCAAAATGATCTTCCTCATCATCCGACCTTCCTCTTTGACCTTCTTGTGCGCCTTGGCCGCCGCGGAAAGCTCAATGACATTGACGCTTCCACTACGATCGATATCCCACTCCTTCATGACTTCTTGGATGCAGTCGGGCATGTGCCCATAGGACATCTCTTCAGAGTTCATTGCCCTCTCTTTCACCAAGCGTTGCAACAGGCCCAAGCCGTTCTGGACCTCAGAGTGGGACATGCTGCCTTTGCTGCCAAAGACATGTTTCATCGTCCTCATGACGCTGAGCATGTCGGCCACGTTCTCATCGTCTACACAACCATTTCCTTCCGCGTCGATCTCCTTCAGCAGGGTCTTGACATTTGAAGAGACATCAAGAGAGTCAATCGCCACCATGGTGCCATCCTGCTTCTTTAGAACCACCTGAGCTGCAGTTCTCGCATGGAAAGTTGCAGTTCTTGGCATGTGAGCGAGTTCTTAACTAAAATCACTTGCTTTGGAGAGGGGAACCAGCGTGGATGCAGGGCCGGACAGCACTTGCAAGACGTGAAAAAAGGATGAAAGAAGAGAGGTCCCCGGAGGAATGGTACGATCAACACTTGCTGGTGCGCAGGAGGCAAAAGGATGGATGCCCGACAACGCATGCTGTCCGACAAAAGGCAAGAAATGTTGACACAATCACAAGAGAACCAAATGAGTCAATGAGCCTCATAACCAAGATCTTTCTGGGATCAAAACCGCTTGTTACCCACAAAGGCACCTTTTGAGATGCCTGTGGGTCCTGGTCATCCTTGCCCACTCCCACGATGACTTCATCAAATGCTTCCATCACTTGCTGATCGGTTTCGAACTTCAAAGCCATGATCGAAACGTCCAAGCTACTCTCAGATCTAGGACCTAACTCTCTCAGATCTAGGATCTGACTCACGCAAAAACGAAGCTTCGGCATCAATCGCGCTGAGTGTATCTAAGTGTTGTCGACCCACACAAACCGATTGAAAAAATGCCTCACACTGCAAACCTGTTTGTGTGCTTTACATAGCAGACAAAATTGATTAGCAAATTGATTCGCAGACGGCAACCTGTTGTTCTCGTTTTCCGATCCTTTTCAGGAAGAGTTCCGCACCGAAGACCGCGTTCCGGCACCAGCTCGTCCTGGTCAGCTGTTGCTCCTCCTGAGTCGCGCCGCGTTCCGAGCGGGTCGTGATTGGGGTAGTGGGGCTTCCGCGGAAGCTGTCGGCCAGTCACAAAACGTGGGGTACAGTGAAATCCCCATGGCACAAGCATTGACAGTTGGACATCCCCATGGCACAAGCATGTGAACAAGGCGTGCACACGTGCCACGTCTTTTTAGCAACAGAAAGAGCTGGAAAGGGGTCATATTGATATGTCAAAGTCATGTGTTGTGTCTTTTTTGAAAGATAGTTGTTGGGTACATGATTGCACATAGCACAACCCCGCGGGCAGCCTGCCTGTCTTTGTTTGCCAGACTCCAAACTTGGGCCTTTCCTAAAGAGGCACCAATTCCTCAGATGGACAGCCGCAGGGCACAAGAATGATCTCAGCCGCAAGCCATCTTTGACCTCCGGAGCCTTTGAGCTTCAAGGAGGTGTTGTTGGTTGTTTCAAAAAACAATCCTAAAATCCCAAAGGGCATATTATATGTAATATATACTGTATATAAATATGTAATAACATAATGTACGTGTGTGTACATATTGTAGTATATACGTAGAGAGGGAGGCAAAAATTAAAGATTACTTTCAAAACCGTTCAACAACATTCTGTCAGAAGCTAAAAAAACTATTTAAACCGTGGCAAACCCTGTGGAGGTTTGCAGACTTCGCACAGTCAAAACCTGGATCGTAGATGATGAACGATGATCATCCTCCAAGAGATTCCTCCAAAACATGTGGTCTCTTTTTGGGCTCTCTTCGATTCGGCCGCATGTCCGCCGCCGAAAACCACCCCCTTCCCCTTCCCACCAGCTCCGAGGCACCAAGTGCACCGCGGGCAGCGAAGCCCCGCGTTCCGCGTCCAGCTGTAGACCCAGCCCCTCCGGTCCAAGCACCTCGGCCGACGGAGATCGCCACGCCAAAGAACGGAGCCGTCAAAGCGGATCAGGCACCAACTGCCGTGAATTCGGCAGGCGTCCGACCGGTGTTCCCACAGGCTCCACAAGAATCTGACCAAAATGTCCTGGGACAGTCCAGATTCCCAGACCACTACAAGATACTACAATGTCATTTGTCATCACTTCCGGCCGGACAAGCATCAGGGTAGTTTAGTGAGGCTTCCCAGGCTTAGTGCTCAGTGGACCATCATCTGGCGGGGAGCCCGTTCGGTTCATGCCTGTTGAGGACCGAACCACTCGACCGATCCAGCCCGTGCGGAGAAACCCTCGCTGGGCTGGGAAGAAGCCCTCTGCGGTTTGCTCACCGAGGAGCCAAGGGATGTCCATCGTTGGCCACAAGCTCACCTTGACGGGACGTGAATTCTCTCAGAACTCTTGGTAAGCCTCCAAAGCCTCCAAACAACAGCAAAACCGCGGGGACATCTGCTGAGAATTTGTTACGGCACTAGCCGATTGAAAGGAGTTGGAGTTGGGCCCCCAATCACAACTCTTGGCTTCTGCTGTGAATATTTACAGTGTCTAATTGATGTACGTACGCAGGTTGTTATTTCACCTCGGTTGACATGTGCACACGCGCAAATCTGCACTTCGAAAGATTGTATGTCGATGCCTTCAGAAATTCACGCGGACACCCAAGCTGCGCTACATGTTTGCCACGCCCCCAGCTCAGAGTATCTTTCCGTCCTCGCAAGTGCATTGCTCTACGATTATTGTCTCGCCTTTGCTCCTTGGGGCATTTTGCAAACAATTGCACAAATCTGCACACAGAGAATCGAAAGTCTGCGCATCTCAGCGACAGTAATGACCTTTTGCACTCTATCTTTCCCAAAGCCTTCATGCGACACGGGGAGTCTTCCATTGGAAGCTTTCCTCCTTCTCATTCTCCGGTAACAGAATGTATACAGTGGAGCTGCAGTGTTGCAGCAATCCTAACGTATCAAGGTCGATGTTCTCCTGAAATGAAGCCGTTGCCTTTCTGTGCCACTGCAGGGAGATTGGATGCTATTTCTTGGAGCATTGTCACACGTTTGGAACTTGCAACGTACTGTCTAATCACCTACACCTACACTATACTAAACACTTGAGGCCGAGGGTAGGTGACGAAAGCTAGCAGGGGTGCATCCGGACTGGTGGGACATCAAGCGGAGTGAGGCAAATGCTCATGAGGTTGTGAACATGTAAGACACACAAACAGCAATGACACAGCCAACCTTAGAATTGAAGTCCCCGATAATTAAGGAAGCGTGGCTGGACTTTGCCACACTGTTCGATGCATCCGATGTGTTCACGAACCTGTGAGCTTGTTGAATCTGTTGCGCTGTATCCCAAAACCTCCACGGAGGAGTTGAACCAGTGTGGATGCCATAAGAGGTGCCCAAGAGGTGTCCCAGAGGCAAAACAAAGCTGCTTGCATGATTTGTTTGGTTTCTTCTATCGATGTCGATGTCATGAACATGTGAGCTTGTTGAATCTGCTGTTGGATCGTCATGTATATGTAATGAGGGACTGAAGAAAAGCAACGCAGCATCATGAGCATCACGGGAAGTCACAAACCAGGCGTATCAGATACACCTGGCTTATGTATGTTTGTTTGAGCATCTTTGTCGAGTGAAGTGTCAGCCATATGCACTGAGATGCCGAAGGAAGCTCAAAGGCACGTGTATCTGATACGCCTGGTTTCTGACTTCCCGTGATGCTCATCATTGAAGCCTTGAACCCTCGCGTAAATTTCATGTTTCATGCCCCCCCTTCCAAACTCAAACAGTGGCCTACTTCACCTGCCACCTAAACATAGCACTATAGCACGTACCGGAAGCGTCCCAGGGGGGAGTTGAACCCGCGGGAGGGGGGGGGGGGGGCCCCCCACACGTGAAGTTTTCACGTGATTCATGATTCTCGAGGCTGCGAGCCCTTGACTTGCTAAAGCAAGAGCAACTCCAGCTAGCTGATGCTAGCTTTCGTGACTGTCTTTGTTTCCCAAGCACACTTCATTTGTGCATGTGTCGGTGTGTATACAATAATCTGCGGTGTTGTTGCAAAAAGGAAAGCTCATTGACTCATTGGGGCTTGAAACATCTTGCAACTTGAAAGACTATTGATTGGAATGGCAGGCACCTATCTCGTAGCTTGCGGGTTGAAAAGAATCTCTTCCCAGCCAACTACCTAAAAGAACATGCCTGTCACAGGAATCTGGATGTCAAGTGCACGGTCGTATGCCGGTAGTCACGTTGGCCAAGCGGCCACTGTGGTTCAGGTGCCAGTAGATGCCAGGTCTCGAAGATAGAACCAGCTGCTCATCCTTCAGCCTAGAAATCTTCAGTTCAATCCAGGTGTCTTGGCTACTTCATGCTCCTTCCACTGACTTTATCAAGGTTGTCAGTCTAGGCGTTGAACATGTTCATCGTGTGTCGTGTGAAACATCAAAACGGAACTATATACTAAACATTTCTGGGCCAAGACCCATCTGCCAAAGCGGGGAATGAGCAAGGATTCTATCTAAGATTGAGTGGTACCTGGTACAGTACACTCTGCTAGCACTATCCAACATATGTTACGCAGAACCATCCCAGGGGCCCGGCACCAGTCTCACCCAGCTAAACTCAAATACGCATCGTCCATGTCGAGCAACGACAGCAGCAGGCCCGAAGCAAGGTGCAGCAAATGGCCTTGCCTCGTCCCGATGCCGGGGACGTACGGTTTTCTCGGTGCAGCAAACGTCGATGGTTCCACCCGTTCGCAGACCACTCCGTTCGCAAACCGCTCCGATGCAGTTTTTTCTGGAAATGACTTGGAGTTGATCGAATTTCCATGAATTTCCTGTCCTCACCCAGAAACATCAGAAACAAAAATCCGCTAGCTGGCCTTCATGCAAGGTAAGCCCCATGAAGTTAGTCACCCATCATGTGTAAAATGGACCAAACAAGCACTAGTGCTTGTCATCTACGTTGACGGTTGGCACAAGTGGCACGCATTGAAGCAAATCACCTGTTCATGACCAGGGGTCGTATATCTACTCCTCTGGCACCATAATCTGGAGAAAGCTGTCCCTCAAGAAACAACATGAAAAATAACACCACCGTAGACCCCAAACAGATTGAAACTAGAGCTTGCGACGTCCAGAGACAAAGGATTGCAAGGCAGAGGCGGCCACAGCAGCCCAGAGCTGGGAGACAAATGTAAAGGATTGCAAGGCAGAGACGGACACAGCAGCCCAGAGCTGGGAGACAAGTGTAAAGGATTGCAAGGCAGAGACGGACACAGCAGTACAGAGCGGGCGGACACATATTAAGAAAGAATTGAGAAACCCTAACAGTAAACCTTTTGGAGAATTATTCTTCAAGTGCGAACATGATGCTGGTCATGCTGCTCAATCAGCGGGGAGCTGACCACAAGAATTAAAAGCATGAGGAGCGAAGGATGTGACATGAAGTTGATTTTTGGTGCCTGACGTATGCCCTCCGTCCCAACTGAACAGAGAGATCGCTGCCACGCCGCCGAAGTCCAATCCGGTCATTCATCCAACGCTTGCCCGAAAAGGAAAACAAAGCTGAGAGAGTTACACAGTGTGGCAGGAATGCAATCCCGGAGACAGTCACGCACCCCTTTCAAAGGAGCAAGAACCTTTCACATGTGAACCTGTTCCAGCGGACAGGGCAGAAAACAGCAGTGCAGGCACCAAACCTGAAAGACAAAAAGAAAGAAATCACATGGGAGACAAATGACTAGAAATGCTACATGGCCAGCGGAAAAGGGCGGCAGCACCAGTGACAGAGCCGGGAAACATATGAATAGAAATGCTGCATGGCCAGCGGAAAAGGGCGGACACCAGCAGTGACAGACCTGGAAAACAAATGAATAGAAATGTTACATCGCCAGCGGAAAAGGGCGGACACCAACAGTGACAGAGTTGGGAGACTAATGAATAGAAATGCTGCATGGCCGACGGAAAAGGGCGGACACCAGCAGTGACAGACCTGGGAGACAAATGAATAGAAATGCTGCATTGCCTGCGGAAAAGGGCGGACACCAGCAGTGACACACCTGGGAGACAAATGAATAGAAATGCTACATGGCCAACGAAAAAGGGCGGACACCAGCAGTAACGCACCTGGGAAACAAATCAATAGAAATGCTTCATGGCCAACGGACAAGGGCGGACACCACCAGTGACAGACCTGAAAGACAAATGAATAGAAATGCTACATGGCACCAGCAGTGACGGACCTGGGAGACAAATGAATAGAAATGCTTCATGGCCGATAGACAAGGACACACCAGTGACAGACCTGGGAGACAAAAGAATAGAAATGCTACATGGCCAGCGGAAAAGGGCGGACAAGGGCGGACACAGACCTGGGAGATGAATAGAAATGCTGCATGGCCAGCGGAAAAGGGCGGACACTGGCAGTGACAGACCTGGGAAACAAATGAATAGAAATGCTACATGGCCAACGGAACAGGGCGGACACCAGCAGTGACAGACCTGGGAGACAAATGAATAGAAACAGCGGAAAAGGGCGGACACCACCAGTGACAAGCCTGCGGGACAAATGGATAGAAGTGCTGCATGGCCAGCGGCAAAGGGCGGACACTAGCAGTGACAGACATGGCAGACAAATGAATAGAAACAGCGGACCAGCAGTGCCAGACCCGGGAAACAAATGAATAGAAATGCTGCATGGCCAGCGGAAAAGGGCGGACACCACCAATGACAGACCTAAATGAATAGAAATGCTACATGGCCAGCAGAAAAGGGCGGACACCAGCAGTGACAGACCTGGGAGACAAACGAATAGAAATGCTACATGGCCAGCGGAAAAGGGCGGACACCA